TTATTCAATTAACAAATATAAAATACAAAATTTCCAACACCCTTTGTTATCTAGGCTAGCCCTGGAAGGGGCAGTCTCTCCCTAGTCAGAAAGATTTTCAAGGTGTCAAAACACCAAACTGTATTTAAAAATACCTAAAAATAAAAAAAAAAAATACAAGTAATATAGCAGAACTACCATATTTTGCCGTGTATAATACACACCCACATATCTGTGTGCATTATACACAGGATTATTATGCCCATGGTATGCATTCATTATACTCATGTATAATGTGCATCCTTATTTTTCCCTCAAAAATTCAGACCAAAAAGTGCGCATTATACACGGCAAGATACGGTATCTACTCACTTCCTGATTATTAAGAAGATATTTAGCAGCCTCATCCGCACCATGACTGAAACCCCTCATTTCATGCCAAAAGAAGAGACAGCAACTTAGAAGAAATCAACTTCCCGAACCCGCTGCGTATGTTGAGTATGACACATTTGCTCTCAGCTTATAAATGGGACATGCAAAGCTTTTCTGGGGGAAAGTGTCAACAGGGGTAGAAATGAGATGGAGGAACCACGGTGAGTTTTAATTGCCTAAAAAGCTACTCTCTGTAACTTCTGGGGAAACATCTGAAGGAGAAAGCAGAAAACAATTGTTTCTGGAAGCATCTCCATCTAACAGAGAGCTGCAATGCAAGGCTTGTCCTCAACCAAACAGCCATGTGAATGAACGATCACCTCTAGGAACTATTCATTTGACCAGCATCAAACAACTGGCTCCACTTCCAAACAAACACACTTTCTTAACCTCTTTCATGAGGGCCAACAATATAAATTCTCTTAACATTTATGGTTAGAATAGAGGAGAAGAAAGATGTCTATAAGAGCTTAAAGCATCCTGACTTAATATTTGTTTAAAATCAAGAATAAGCAATTTTAATTGGAAGCACACTTTTTGTAATATGCATTGGCTACCCCAATTCAACATACCCTTCCACACAACCTTCCTCTATTACCTTCCCCTCTCACATTCCAAACATGGTCAAAGATTGGGGTATTTTCTTTTCTTTACAAGTTATATTTACTTCTCTGCATTTAGATTCTAATCTTAAGAAATATCAAGTCTGATGAACATGTAGAATGAGCTAATTAAAATAAATAACAACAGCTTATACTTGTTGAGAATTTATTATTTGCCCACTCTACCAAGTATTTTTATATGCATTTTCTTCTTGACTCTTTACAATTCTAGGAACTAGGTACTATTTAACTATCTTTATTTTCCAGATAATGAAATCAAGGCCCCAAGATTAAGTAACTTGCCCAAAGTCACATGGCTACCAAACAAAGTCAAAATTTAGATCTAGGTTGCCTGACTAGAGAACCAGCATTGTAATGACTAAACTGTTAAAGAGACACAGTTAGTTTCCATGAACTTCTTTTTTAAATTATATTTTATTGATTATGCTATTACAGCTGACCGCATTTTTCTTCCTTTGCCCCCTCCACGCAGCACCCCCTCAGACAATTCCCACATCATTGTTCATGTCCATGGATCATGTGTGTAAGTTCTCTCACTACTCCATTTCCTATTCTGTACTTTATATCCCCATGGCTATTCCGGGATTACCTATTTGTACTCCTGAATCCCCTCACCTCCTCACCGATTCTTCCACACCCCTCTCCCATCTGGCAACCATCAGAACACTCTCTGTATCCATGATTCTGCCTCCGTTCTTCTTGTTTGCTTAGTTTGTTTTTTAGATTTAATTGTTGATAGGTATGTATTTTTTGCCATTCTATTGTTCATAATTTTGATCTTTTTCTTAAGTAAGCCCCTTTAACATTTCATATAATAATGGTTTGGTAATGATGAACTCCTTTAGTTTTTAATTGTCTGGGAAGCTCTTTATCTGCCCTTCAATTCTAAATGATAGCTTTGTTGGGTAGATTAACCTTGGCTATAGGTCCCTACTTTTCCTGACATTGAATATTTCTTGCCAGTCCCTTCTGGCCTGCAAAGTTTCTTTTGAGAAATCATCTGACAGTATTATGGAAACTCCCCTATAGGTAACTTCTTTTCTCTTGTTGTTTTTAAGATTCTCTCTTTATCTTTAACCTTTGGCATTTTAATTATGATGTGTCTTGGAGTGAGCCTCTTTGCATCCATGTTGTCTGGGACTTTCTGTGCTTTCTGGATGAGCGGAAAACTTCACCAAATTAGGGAAGTTTTCTTTCATTATTTTTTCAAATAGATTACCAATTTCTTGCTCTTTTTCTTCTTCTTCTGGCACCCCTATGATGTGAATGTTGGACCTCTTGAAGTTGTCCCAGAGGCTGCTTACATTATACTTGTTTTTTTGGATTCTTTTTTCTTCTTATTGTTCTGATTGGTTGTTTTTTGCTTATGTTCCAAATCACTGATTTGATTCTCAGCTTCATCCACTCTACTGTTGTTTCCTGTAAATTGTTCTTTAATTCAATTAGTGTATCCTTTGTTTCTGACTAGATCTTTTTTATGCTGTTGAGGTCCTCACAAAGTTCCTTAAGCATCCTTATAACTAGTATTTTGAACTCCGCATCTGACAGATTGCTTATCTCCATTTTGTTTAGTTCTTCTTTTGGGAGTTCTGATCTATTCTTTCATCTGGGCCATGTTTCTTTTTCTCCACATTTTGGAAGCTTCCATGTGTTTGTTTCTATGTTTTAGGTGGAGCTGCTAAGATTCCCCATCTTGCTAGCGTGGCCTAACGTAGTAGGTGAACTGTAGGGTCCAGTGGTACAGGCTTCTCGATCATCCAACGTGGGTACTCAAGGTGTGCCCTTCATGTGATCTGAGTACACCCTCCTTTTGTAGTTGAGCCTTGGTTGCTGTTGGCAGATCAATGGAAGGGTTTACCCAGGCCAGTCAGCTGCAAAGATTGGCCGTGACCACTTACTACCAACCTCTACCCTCCGTGGAGGATCAGCTGTGCAGGGACAGGGTGGTGGTGCTCCAACGTGGCTGTGGTCTATAGCTGTCCACTTGGTGCACAGGCTCTGGGGTTTCCCAGGTGTTGCAGGCAAAGGTCAGCCCCCACCTGAGTTCTGCCCGGGGTCATACAGCCTGAGCTATAAAGCAATCTGAGATGGCTGCTACTTGTGCTAGGTCTGGAGGTACCTAGGCGAAGCCAAGCTGTGAATCTAGGCTGGCTAATGCTAGTGCCAGGTCTGGGGCTCACTGTGGCCAGCTGTTGCTTGTTTGATAGGATTTAGGAAGTTGTGAGGCATGAGCCAAGACCAGCCATTCATATGGGAAAGCACCTTGGGTGGGCCTATAAATTGGGTGGGAGGGAGTCTCTGGGGATCTCCAAGGTTGGTCAAACAGTGTTAGCCAGGTTGATGGAGTCTCGGATATGGCGCCACCTTGCCGGCTCTGTGGAGGGAGGGCTCAACAAAGGGACAATGGCCTCTGCTCGCCTTAATGCCAGACACTTCAGTTTCTCCCTGTATGCCACTGATGCCTTTCAAGCTGCTACCCCGGTGCTGGAGCTCACAGGGTGTGAGTCTGAGTCAGTCTGTGTGTGGGTTCTTTAAGAGGAACTGCTGGGGACTCCAGAATTTTCTTCTACTGACTGAATCCCCACTGGTTTTCTCAGCCAGAAGCTGTGGGGACTTATCTTTCTGGCACTGGAACCCTGAGATGGGGGTCCTGCTGCAGGGCTGGGATTCCTCTCTCCTGAGCTATCCCTCCAGAATTTTTATCCACCACATGTGGATGTGGGACCAGCCTATTCCACATCTCCGCCCCTCCTACCAGTCTGGATAGATGCAGTTTCTTTAATTCCATAGTTGTCAGACTTCTATTCAACTTGATTTCTGATGGTTCTGAATGACGGCTGTTCTATACTGTAGTTATAATTTTGATACGGTTGTGTGAAAAGGCAAGCTGTATTCACCTATGCTGCCATCTTCCATGAATTTCTGACCTAGGCCAAAAGGACATGCTCTCTGCATGAGAGCTCTAGCAGCCTCCAGCAGCTACAGTGCAGACAGACAGTACGGTAAAAGAAGGCATTCCACACCTTCTCACACACAGAGGAGTACACCCAGGTGGCACTCAATTTTGGATCCTCCAAGAGCTGGACTAATTGGCCACAAGTAAACATCCCCAGGAGGGTAGAAGTACTGGCTTAACAACATGGTGTGACCTTTTGTTTAATAAAGGGGAGAAATTAAGTGACATTATGTGCGAATCACGCTGGGATTTAAGGATCTTCATGCTAACACTGCTGATCTTGAGCAGACAGCTCAAATAAGCTGAACACGTGGCTTTCATGGAAAGAATTAACCTGTTGCCAAGGAAAGTGTCTCTAAGAATTGGAATGTTGTCAAACTAGCTTAGCACCACAAAATGGTACAACTTAATGAGACTCTATAAATCTTGAGGACTACAACACAGAGCTCTCTCTCCAAAGACTGTGATTTCACAAGTGGGTTGCTGTCTTTTCTAGACACACACACACACACACACACACACAGTGGCAGGTGAAATGCTGTAACTAAAAGCTGCCTTCTTTTTTTTTAATTGAGGAGAACGTCTTCCTCCCTTCCCTATACACAATTCCTTTCTAACTATTTTATTAAATTTTAAAAATTAAACATTTTTTAAAGTAAAAATATCTCAAATAGCTTTTAAAGTCATGCTCAATAGTCGGTTTTATTTAAACATCTATTCAACTTCCTGAGATATAACACACATTCCTAAGACAAAAAGCTCTCACATTAAAATAAAACCAACCAACCAACCAACCAACCAACAGCTCAGTGCTGAACCTGAAGGAGTGGAGAGGCTAGACTGATCCTTACAAATCAGCAACAAGCCAGAGGTCTATTTCCAACAGAGTATTAGTAGAGGGGAGGGGAAGGGAAAGAGGGGGAAAACCAGAAAGTTTTGACTGAGTGGAAAACATAAGAAATCCAAATTCAGTAATATTTATTCCTGGAAAAAATGTGACAGCAACTCACCTGTCCACTGCTTCTACGTCAAAGCAAAATCTCTTCTCAATGGAGTCTGTTTTCCGCCGTGTGCAGGATTTGAGGGTGACCGACTCATCTTCTCCCTGTTGGGAACACACAGACTATCAAACTGGGGCCAGAATAAGGGATCTGCTCCTCTCCACGACACCCGTGCCACATGAACAGGCGTGGTCACTTCCTCTTCTCAAATCTGAGTGTTTAAGACCACAGGAGGTAAAAGGTTCATCCTAAGTCCCAATAAGGAAGCTGAAAAATTCGTCAACCATGTTCTTCTTGGAGTCAAATGTTGCTATTACTGGTACATCATGATGGTCTAGCATCACCCTATGTTACATTGAATTCTTGTTGATATTGTTTAAAATAGGCTTAATTTGTAAGTTTGATATGAGTCAAAACAAGACGACCTTGAGGTTTCCTCCCAACTCAGGCTTTTCAAATCTTGGTTCAGTCATCACTTTTCAGGAAAGTCTTACTGGACCAGGTCAAATACGCTCATAGATGTTCACACAACACAACATATCTCTCCCTCCCTCATTTCTCATGGATATGAACGATGATTCATATAACGTGTCTCTCCTCATTAGACTCTAATCTCCCTGAGGAAAGGGACTGTGTCTGTTTTTGCTTACTCTTGTGTCCCCGGAGTCTAAACAGGCCCTGGAGCAGAGTAAGTACTTAATAAATGTTTTAACAGGCATACTGGGGTATAACAAATGTGTAATAAACTGCACATGCTTAAAGGTACAATTTTTGAGTTTTTACATGGATACATGCATGAAATCATAACCACAATCAAGCTAGTGAACATTTCCAGCACCTCCAAGATTTCCTGCTGTCCCTTTGTAATCCATCCTTCCACCCAGCAAACACTGAGTCTGCTTTCTGTCACTATAGGTACATCTGCATGGTTTATAACTTTATAGAAGCAGAATCTCCTTTTATGTTTGACTTCTTTTACTCAGCATAATTCTTTTGTAATTCATTCACATGATTGTGTAAATCCAAAATTTATTTCTTCTTGTTGCTGAGTAGTATTCTACTATACAAATGAAATGCAACAGTTTTATTATATAGTACTCATTTTCTCTTTCTGTCACATAGGAATTTGTTAAGATTTCTGTTTCTCCTGCCTCTCCAAACTTCTTTTTCTGAACTAGGGGGGAAATGAACAAACTTGCCTAGTTTATTGATATAATAGGAAATGTGATGGCCTATGGTAAAACTAACCAGGCATTAATATCAGAATAGCACACAAAAACACAGAAGACCTAGGAACAGACGGTTTATATTCACAGGCCTTACATTTATTGTTTTTTTCACTGAATAGCTAACATTAAGTTCTCAGATTGAGAGCTGCTCTTTCTGCAATGTGTAAACATATGAGTGTAAATGCCCAAACACATTGGATTCTGACCATGTGGATGTCTAACTGTATTGCAGAGTGAATGACGAAGGACCTACTTTTATTTTGAAAGCTTAGTGGGAGGTATTCCTGGTGAATGGGAGGGAACAGAGGATCTATAAAATATTGTCAAATGTAAGGAAAAAAAGAAAATTCTGTTCCAAGGATGACTATACCATATCAAGAAAAAAATCTATAAAGATGATCTGTTCAACTACTAGTGTTTAAAAAAAGTAGGCAATACAAATGAAAATCACTTAGACAAATAAATGAAAAGTTACAACTGTGACAAACACTATAGAAAAAAAAGCAGGTTGTGTTACAGAAGCTTAAATTAAGGGAATTTGACCTGGTCAGGAAGGTCAGCAAAGGCTTTCTTGGGCTGGTACTTAAAGGATTCGTGAGATAAAACCAGGAGAACAGCACTGGGGATGGAGAAGAGCAGGCAGAAAAGCCCCGCGGTCAGGGTCCTGGGTGCCTGAAGGAACTGAAGGGAAGCTACTGTGGCTAGAATTCCAGAGCAAGAGGGAAAGTGGACCGAGAAAGGGTTTGAGGAATGCAGGGGCAAGAACATGCAGGTTCTGGTCTGTGTCCTGAGAGCAGTGGGACAATGAAAGGTTCGAAGCAAGGGAAGGGGCAGGGTCAGCTTCGGGCTGCTGCAGACCTCCTGCTGAGGGGCGCCTCATCCCAGACTGGGATGCAGGAAGTCTCTTTCACCACACACAAGGGCTGGTCTTTTGGAGGATAGGACACATCTGCCCATACCTCCTGGCCTAAAGCTCACATAGAAAAGTGCATACTTTCAAAGGACATAATCCAAATAAAGGGACAGTGAAAGGTGAGAAAGGGTGGAGCAAAAGCACGTTAAGAAGAGAAAACACCCTATAATCTATGTTAAGTCTACCTCCATCTCCTTGGAAAGCTTTGTACAAACACATATAGAAAGACATCACATGATCCTCCTGCATAAATTAAAAAGACATCACCTCTAGACAACCAGTCTTCATATTTCTTCCACCCTAAAGCTAAGGAAACAGAGCTATACCCTGGAAGGCTATTTATTTATATAATGTTATATATTAATATTATTCTTTATATATTAATTTATTTCATATGTAACATATTATCATAGTTAGTTATATAGTTATATATTATATATTATTATTGTGATAGGCCTCAGAATCAGGAGACGCAGACCCCAGAATCAGGGATTGCGTGCTGGCTCTATCATTAATTACTTGTATAACTTTAGAAATCATTTTCTCTCTCTGAACCTCAATTTTCTCTTTTGTTAACGAGGAATATTGGATCAAACAGGATAATATAGAACAATAAAAGGGCTTAGAAATATATGAAATGTGATACAAACACAAGGAATTACTGTTAGGAAAATTATTATAATATCGAGCTCCTAAGGTAGTGATCGTTATGTGTCCAGCTCTGTCCCAAGAAGTTTACAAGCACTAATTCATACAAACCTCTTAACAACTTAATGAGTTGTTTACTATTATCTCACTAAAGTCTGGGGAGTCCCAAACATCCGCCATAATTGGTCTCTGCCCTACACTTTCAAGTATGATGAGAAGTAGAAAAAATACAAGAGAGTTCTTCATTAAAAGTTTAGGAAAGCACAAGATAAAAAGTCCCAAAATAAAGACTGTGTGAGGGAATGACTTGGTGAAGCTGATTTCTAGAAGGACTAAGATTTGGAAAAGGACTATGACTCAACCCAAGGAAGGCAGGCCTAATTCTACTTCTATTCATGAATGTCAGGGGATATCTACAAACACAGTTTTTTAAAAAAATGTTCCCTCTAACTCTAATTTCTCTGTGTTTTGATATTTTCACATCTGTTTTCTTGAGAGAATTTATAGGTCAACCCCACCTCTGACAAGAAACATTCAAAAAGCCTTGGTTCTTTTGCTTTAATACAGGGAAGGAATAAAGATGCTGATAAACTTCTATGTTGTGGCCTAAGAAAAAGAAAGTCAGGAAAAAAATTGGAAATATTAGAGAGCAAGGGGACAGCATGGCAGAAGAGTTAACAGTAATGATAACAGCATCTAACATTACTGACCCAGGCTGTCTAATTTCAAAACCAGTGCCCTGAGCCTCTACACTGTAATGCCTACACACGTGCAAACCCAATGCTGCATAAAAATGCACCACAGTGAAGTTCAGGGTTGGAACACTGATAGAGGACTACATTATCAACGGATCAGACATAGCTGAAAAATTACTTAAAGACAGAACCAGAGACTTCAGAATGGAGTCCAGAGATTTAAAGAGATGAAAAATACAAATATTTTTACTGGAAATATTTAAATATTTCCAGAAGAAGATAACAGAAGTAATGGGGAGGGGGAAAATTTCAAAGTGATAATCACTGGGAATTATCTAAAGTTACTGAAAGACTCCAATCCTCAAACCCTAGGACCATCAAAATGAAATGCAGAATACCAAGAAGCAGAAGGAGGAGGAGGAGGAGGAGGAGGAGGAGGAGGAGGAGGAGGAGGAGAAGAAAATAAGATACTAAGATCAGCCAGATCACCTAAAAAGGAAATGCATGCAATGAGTATGTTACCGTAGACAGTCAGAGGGCCAGGGAGTCTCCCACAGTGGCCAAGTTGGAGGCAAGGGGAGGTTCTTACACGAAGCCCGCCGAAAGCTATGAAGATAAATTGGACCGGACCTGAGTGCACCGAAAGCTAGAAAGATAAACGGACAGGATCCCTACATGCCAAAAGCTAGGAAGGTAATTGGATAGGAAAAAAGCCCTCCCCTCCTTATTCCTGTAAGAACCTCGGGCTTGAGCAGGAAGGGAAGATGGTCTCTGAGACAGAAGTCTGCCATTCTCCCAGGTCATGAAGCACGTGGATAAAACCTCCCTCCTTCTGCACCAGCACCTGTCTCCCGAGTTTGGCTTTTGTTGCAGCAGGCAGCTGAACATGCAAGGGTGGGTGGTTTTGCCTGCCACCACCCACCCCCAGCCCCCGGTTACAAGTACACCCAGAGGAAAGGAGATCCTTGGAGCACAACAGCAGTGACTCAGAGCCTGGTGCAGACTGACTCTTCCTAAGATGGCCACAAGAATATCTCCCACCCCCCACACACTTCACACAGTGTGACTCTGACACTCCTTCCCACTGAGAGGCAGGGTCTGCATCCTCTCCCATTAAAACTGGATGGGCTTTTGTGACTGTCCAACAAACTGGGCAAAAGTAAGGTAATATGACTTCTAAGGGTAGGTCATTAAAAAGCAATGCAGTCTTTGCTTTCATTAATGGAATATCTACTCTTGAAGCATTTAGCTACCTGGCAGCCACCATGCTGTAAGGAAGCTCAAACTAGCCCACTTACAGAGATAAGATAGACAAGCCCTGCGACTATAGAGAAAGAGGGAAGAGAAGGCGAGAGAAAGAAATCAGGAGAAAAGAAGAAAGCTATTATCATCAGCCCTGAGCTGCTTCAGACTCCACTGTTCCAGCTCTAGTCACCACCGAACTGGCACCACATGAGAAACCCTGAGCCCAAACCACCCAACCAAATGCTCACCAAATTTCTGACCCACAGAAACTGTGACAAATTCTAAAATGATTGGTATTGTTTTAAAAGTTGCTAAGTTTGAGGGTGATCCACACAGTAATAAATAACTGGAACATCTGAACTGCCAACTGGCAGCCCTGTGGGTATCAAGTGAGAGTGATGTGTAAAACTTGTCCAGTTTTACAGGACAAGGTTGCCCAAGAATTTCCAGCATCCAAACACATTTGATACACTTAACGTTGCATACATGTGAAATACAAGAATATTGCTTAGTCGTAATTTCTAGTATAACTTAGAGCTAAGAATAATCATCTTGTTTCAGTTACTTTGTAGGATACTATGCCTCCTGGAACTATTGTATAAAAATTAAGAAAATTAGAGTGAAACATTGGAGGTGTTAACATTATACAGGCATTATAATTATTATTTGTTAACCACACAAATCAAGCATGAAATTTAAAATATTAACTTACCCCCTTTCCTCCTGACTTCTGGTCAAATGGTACCATGGTGATTTGCTTGGAATCCCGCTGATATGTACAGTAGTGCTTCACCCAAGAAGTTCCAAAGTGACCTGCAAAGTAATACGTCCCATAAAACATCTATATATGTCCACTGCATGCCAGGAAGACACACAACCTGTAACCCTCAGTGCTCACCTACTCCTCACTTGTTTCTAGGGGTAAAATATTCTCCACATCAGCTAGACTGGAACAGGCAGAAATCTGATTCTACAGGCTGGAAATGGGGCCTACCCAGGGCTTTCCCCAGGGACTAAGAAGACTGTTTCTCACTAAATGCTACACCCAATGGGTCTTAAAAGGTAAGGGAAGTAGAGCTTTTCCCTGGAGAAATTAATTCACTTTCCCATCATCAATCTCCATTTGAAGTTTCCTGTCTCTCCCCTGACGGGAGGAAGATGACTGAGGACAAACCACAGAAAGCTCCTCCAAGTGCTTGTGACCATCCCCATCTGGTGCAATGACTTCATGCTTCCCACACAGCTGCTCTGCGACTATGTGCACAGGCACACGTGGACTCTGACCTACTTCCAAGCTCCTCATTTTTACTTTTGCAGAACTGAAGAAGATCTCAGAACCAGAGGAGGAAAACTCAGACACCAGAGATATAGAATGCAAGTAACTATAAATACCCAAATGTAATCTAAGGAGTCTGTCCCTCAAAATTACCCCTCAGGAAAGAGGGAGATGTCCTATAGTCAACATCTGACTAAGTCTCTGATTTTACCAGCAGTTAGGCAATAACTTTATTGTGAACAACAAAGTACTAAGTACTACTAGAGGAAGAAGGCATCATTGGCATTATTAGCCTACAAGGACCTCGATCAATACTAGTCTTAGATGCTTACAGGAATCACAGTGCAGAAATGGTAAAATAATAACAACAATAACAAAACCACCACCACCACCACCACCACCACCACCTGAATAGAGATTTAGCAGACATTTAATCATTATTTTTCAGGATACAACTGCCCATTTCAAGTGTTGGATATTACTCAGCAAACTTAAAAAGCAATACAGTGGGTATCTACATAAGGACATCAAAGACAAATGAAAATACCAACCACTTTAATGTATCTTTTGTGGCTTCAAGAAAAAAAAAAATCCAGTGATAGCACAACACAAAGATTCCAAAAGTGCTTGTATCTTGGACAATTTGAGCATCAAAACAAGTAGGGACACTCCCTAGCTGGGTGGCTCAGTTGTTTGGAGCACTGTCCTGTATACCAATAGGTCAATAGGTTGCAGGTTCGATCCCTAGACTGGGCACATACAGGAGACAACCAATCGATGTTTCTCTCTCACATCTCTCCCCTCCCCCACCCCCATCTCTATCTCAAATCAATGAACTTATCCTCGGGTGAGGTTAAAAACAAGAACAACAAATAGGGACAGAAATGAATTTTGCCTATGAATAAAGTGGAAATCCCTTAAGTCCCTACTGACATTAGAAAAATAAATGGATGAACAGGTGGATGGATGGACAGATTGTAAGGGAGGGAGGGAGGGGAGGCAAAGGGAGATCACTTACTTACAGTACACTAAAAGGCAACTAGTGAACGTGGAGGGAGCGGTGGAGCTCAAAAATCACCACTTTGCAACCATCATAATAAAGATCAGTTTAGGCAGGATTTTCAATGGATGCTGAGTTTATGGGGGGAAAAGGTATTTATCTGGTCTTAGGGTGTCTCCCAACAGACTGCTAACTAGTTACATGAAAAAAAATAGTGCGTGTACAGGGAAGAAACCCAATAGTACCTTGACTAGGTGATCAAAATTAACACTACCATTGAGGGGCAGATGGCCATCCTATGCCTCCAGATGTGGTACACATAGGAAAACACAATGTTATTTGTGTAAGATATGACCAGGGATGCATAACCTGAATCTAATATTGAGGAAACATTAGCTGAACCCACACTCAAGACAATTATATAAAAGAACTGGCCTAGATTCTTCAAAAATGTCAATGTCATAAAAAAATGAAGAAAAGCTGAGCGCGTATTCCATATAAAGGAGACTAAAGTCATAACAACTAGATGCAGTACGAGATCCTGCACTGGAGGAAAACAAAATGCTCTGTAAGAGTATTATTGGGACAATTGACAAAGTTGGAATAAACAATGTCATTTATATTAAAATCTTATCAGTGTTAAACTTCCTAGATATGGTAAGTATAGTTACATAAAAGAATATCCTAGCTTCTGGTCAAGATGGCGATGTAGGCAGATATGGCTCACCTCTTCGCACAACCACATCAAAATTATGACTAAAATACAGAACAATCATCACTTAGAAAATGTCAGAAATCGAGTTGAATGGAAGTCTGACAACTACAGAATTGAAGAAACCACATCCGTCCAGACTGGTAGGGGCACGGACATGGAATGGAATGGCCCCACACCTGCGAGGATAAAAATTTAAGAGGGACATCTCAGGGGTGAGGGATCCCAGTTCCACACCAGCACCCCCGGCCCCCGCCGCAGGATTCCAGTCCCAGGAAGGTAAGTCCCCACAACTTTTGGCTGCAAAAAGCAGCAGGGATTGAGTCAGCAGAAGAAACTTCTGGAGTCCCAAGTTTCTGGAGTCCCTTTAAAGAACCCACAGACAGACTTACTCAGACTGACTCCCTGTGAGCTCCAGCACTGGGGTGGCAGCTTGAAATGCACCAGTGGCACACAGGGAGAGACTGAAGTACCTGGCACTGGGGTGAGCAGAGGCCATTGTCCCTTTGCTGAGCCCTTCCTCCACAGAGCTGGTAGGCTGGTCCCATACCTGAGACTCCACTGGCTAACACTGTTTGACCCACCTTGGAGATTCACAGAAGCTCTGTTCTACCCAACTTATGGGCTCACCCAAGCTGCTTTCCATAAGAATGGCTAGTCATGGCTCCTAAATCCTATCAAAAGAATATACTTATTTTTAGAAAATATACACTGAAGCAAAAAACCCATGGTATGGGAAACCTGTTCTCAAATGGTTCAGAAAAAATTAAAATTATGTGAGTATTTGGGACTGCGGTGTGCACACACACGCCCATAGAGAAAGAAAATGATATAATTGTGGAAAAATTGTAAAAATTCATGCATCAGGATAAAGGTCACATGGTTGTTCTTTATATTATTCTTGCAACCTTCTTAAAGTTTTAAATTACTTCAAAATAATAAGTTACAGAAACATGCAAAGAAAAAAAGAGCTGCATCCCAATGATATGCTCTGGGTTAGTGTTATTAGCAAATCAAAACATAGTTCCAGGGATAATCAAGACATTTTCTTAAAAGAGCATATGAAACGTTTGAATAAAATTGTATAAGGTAATATGAGAGTGCAAAGCAGCAATACTGATTTTATTTATGTAAGTGAACAATAGTAATAAATTAAGTATTATAAGTACAAATTAAACGGCATTTTTACAGTCCTAAGAATTTATATTTTCAAGTTCACCTTAATCTCTTCGGGGTGGATCTTCTCCCTGGGCACCACTTTATAGCAGGTACATATGAAACAAAGAACTAGAGTAGCTTGTTTCCTACAAGCCCCAACAAGCTCGCCCCGGTAAGAATAAGGCGCACAGAGCTCTCATCACAACCGATGCCCCAACCTCCATCCCCGTTACTGCCCCCATTGTCACCAGGGAACAATTTTAAGCCCACGCAAATTTTTATTAATCACCAAATAGAATAATCATGGAAACCAAGTGTTCTAATTCTCCATCCAGAAGCTTCCAGGAATGAAGACATTTGTCTAACCCAAAATCAACAGAAGGACATTAAAGCACAAAACCAAACCAGCAAAAATCTGGGGAAGTATGTCCAGCCAAGAAAGCAGGAGTAGACTAGGAAAGGAGCTATTCATTTAAAAAAAAAAAACTGCTTTCTTTTCTCCCTAGCACTGCATGCATGAATTAAGCCTAGAAGTGCGACCCTAACAGAACAGCCCCATCAATCATAAAGTCTTTCCCAGGCCTAGTGCACAGATTTGGGACTCATGACTGAAAACTCCATGTCATCAGCATCTAGCATTTCTTTCCTTGACATCACACCAGCAAAGCAATGATGAATCTTCTTCCTGGCTATAGGAATGAGCTTTTCTTTCTCCTTTTCACAAAATTTAAGTGTTGGGATGACAGGAGTTGAGAAGAAGAGGGAACAGATGTTAAGCCATGATTGCCTGGGCCTTGCTGAAACAAGTCTCAAACAAAAACAAAATCACTAAATATCCGGTCCATCAAAGGATATGATTGCTGAGAGACAATTAAGTCTACCAGGCAAGGTCTTTCCGAGGCCTCTATGCCAAGGGTACGGTCTCTAAAGCTAAATCAGGGGGACAGGCACTTCAAGAGTCAAGTGACACAAGGAAGGAAAGAACCACCAGAGAGCCCCAATACATTCCAGGTTCCCAAGGGAATTCCCAGGGACAAAGACAACAGAACACATCCCTTGGAAGTAGACAAGACTTGTGGACAACACCTTTCCCTTAAGAAACTTAACTATGAAAGTACTCTCATTCACCCGGACCTGGCCCAGCACCGCTGGACACACCCTTTACCCTCTGGGAAAAAAGGCATGAGTGCACCCCAAGCTGCTGGTCACCACAGGCACTCACGTTTCTCTTGAACGTAGAGGTACCCTTCCATGGTGTAGGGACTGATGGTCTTGTGCTCAAGGGGGTTCTCTTTCATCTTTTTCATCAGTGATTCCACTTCTGACCTGGTGCCTTCAAAGCGATTTCTTGTCTAGGATGAAAGGAATTATATTCAAATCAAAGATATAAAACCCTATTCCCACCTCTAACAATTCAGAACACCAATCAACTAAAAATCAGATAATTTAGTTCTAAAGTCAGCCACCTAAGAATTAAGCCGATATTCAACAAGTGTACTTTGGCCTTAAAGTCCTATATCAGATTCTCTCTTAGACTCTAGGGACCATCAAAATTACTTAAGGAACTTGGAGAAAAGGCAAATGCCCAGGCCTCATCACTAAAGGTGGACGGCATGCCTCAGGACCCAGGAATATGTACTTGAAACAAGCATCCAAGGTGATTCAGTCCTTGGGAGGGCATGCCCCCAGCTCCCCTCAGGCCTGAGGGGCTCATTCTTCCAGCTGCAGGCAATGTTGCTGGCTACTGTCCCACCCAAATGGTTGCCTCCTCCAAAGGGAGCTGCTTCACTGAGCGTTACTCCCTTCCCCAGGGCAGGCCGTAGCCACCTCAGGACTAATCCAGGGACAAAGCAGGACGGTGTCAAACACCTGGTCCCCTTGCTTTTACTCTGGCCACTCTGAAGGGCATCCCAGCTCTGGGTCATCCATGGCATGACTGAGGCCTCTGTCTAACTGCATCACAACTCAACTTCTCCTGCAAGGGCCTCACTCTCTCACAGGTATTTCTGCTGACGCTGCTCCCTGTAAACCTGCTATGTGTAAATCTCCACTTCAGTTAGCCCTCTGAGGAAGCTGGCTGAATGGGAAGCCATGTGTTGTGAAACCTTTTCCAAGAGTCTGCAACTTCCTGTTCTCTCAGAAGACATGGAGAACCCTCTGAGAGCTGTAGGCTTCTAAAAGCCACGCATTACAACCCACGTGGACGCATTTGGTTTCTTTTCTATACAAGGTCATCTAGAGACTAAGACAACATGCAGTCTAATGTGGCCCAAACTTAATGAGGAAGGGGGTTCTAACCCGAGTAACTGCTAACCAAAGACCCCTAGGCAGGATTCTGAGCACCAAAAGGTCCTGCTGTTTAAAATTTGGGAAAGGTGATTGGGAGTAAACCACACGGACCTGGATTTCCTCTCAGCCTTACTCAGAGTTGAACAAAAGTACATCCTTTGAGCTGGAAGCCTCCATGTGTGCCCCACCCTCCTCCCTGAAATCTCTCCCCCTTCCCCCCAAGGTCTCATGTGGCCAAGCAGCTAGATGCACAAAACGGGGGCTGGGCAGAGCTGGGTTGGGCTGGGCTGTGACTTCCACTGCCAAAGGAAATCCTGACTCTGATGCGACAGATTTAAAACATAATCAGCAGCAGCACTTCCGAAAACATAAATAGTGCTTTGAAATAAATGGAGAAGAGGATGACATTCTAATCTGGGGCCACTGAGACCCTAGAAATGCCTGCCCCCAGCTGCCCTTTGAACCAAGCATAGACCCATCCTCCATACCTGCATTCTAAACCACATTAAGTGATCTCTATGCAATCAAACCCATAATTTGTTTTTTCCTTTCCTCAACCAGAGAAAGGAAGTCTGTCCCTTTGCCCACTCACGTTCTGTATGCTAATGGTCAGCTGCAGCTTGAAGTCGCTGAAATCCTTGGCCAGTTCATAACCATGGTGATAGAAAGTGAAGAGTCCTTGCAAGAATGCCAGTAGCTGCAATGAGGTAGAAAGGCGGAGTTCACATAAGTACGTCAAAGAGGCATTATGTAGTTGTATCTGAGTTGCCAACCCTGGTTTGAAAATCTAGAACAAAGTAATAATAATGGCTATCACTTACTGAGCACTATTTGTATGACAGGCACTGTTCCACTGAGGAGTACTCACACCTATTAGATAAGTACTACTGTTATCTTCATTTTAATAATGAGGAAGTAGATTCACAGAGAGGTCACATAACTTGCTCCAAAATACACAGTAAGTGGCAGCCAGGATTTGAAACCAGATCTCCTTGATACCAACACCCAAGCTCTTACCACCTCCTAAGAAAATCATTTTGTTAGAAATTAAAGACCAGAGCTCCAAATCAGTCTCCTTCTAACACATTTGTAATATCAAGTTATTGTGCAGAAGAGTGTGGTTATATTGATAACCAAAAAGAAAGGGGGAAAAGGAAGCTGGTATGTTCTGAGTCTGAAGTCTAACAGGCAAAGTCAAAAAAAAAGAAAAAAGAAAAAAAAAAACCCCCTCATACAGGTCAGACTTCAGCTCAAGTGTTTCTCAGCTTTCCCTAAGCTATTCAAAAGTAAACACTATGGATTTCTTTATTAAAATACTCCCATGTTCCCACATCCCTAGGTACAATGGTTTCCCTAAATTTCTCATTTAAATTGCCTCAAGCTAAAGGTAAACCCATTCATTGTTTAGTCTTGTCTTTAGTGAAGAGTGAAAACATCTGTTCACCAAAATTCTTACAACACGCCTTCATATACTTAAAAACTATTAAAGTCCCTGCCCTGGGCTCCTGCCAGCCTTCCCTTCTCCAAGCTAAATAAACGTTCCTGCAGTCTTTTCTCTCAGAGCCTACATGCAAGCCTCACTCTTGTTAGGCTGCCCTGGCCCTTTCCCAAGTTCTATACATCTTGCCTCAGTGCCAAATCTCAACATGAAAAAGGATTATAATCAAAGCTTGAACAAGGTTTAGAAGAACCAGGGCCTCACCTCATCATAGGCTCAGTTCTCCTGCATGTGGGGACCATCCCCATTCTAACTTAAACTCCTCAGTACCAACTCACATGTTCCAAGTGGTCTGCTGACCTCCCTCTATCACGTTACATTAGACGGTCACTTTATGTTGCGTTTTTCAATCCCTAAATAATATACGTTTATTTATTAAACATCGTCTCCCTTATTTTCACCTCACTCTCTTTTTCTGAGGGCAGCCCTACTAATGCAGTTAAGGGAACTCATCCCACCCCTCACTGCTTTCCCACCTTGCTTGTGACAGAAATGGGAAACATCAAGGTATGTGCTACTCGACCTGAGAGCAGACAAAAGACCTATCTTTGGGCTACGCCACAGGCCTAGTCCAGACCTCTACATTGAGAAGTTAGACAAAATCTGGCTTACAACAATGCGGTACCTTGACTTCCCACTGCCACTGCCCCCAGATTACCTATCTTCTTAGATCCTCATGGGAGGTGGGGGAGCAGGCATTGCCGGATCCCCTGGCTATTAAAAAAACAAACACACACATCTAGTGGTGCCGTAGATAGGTCCCTAACCTAAATCAACAAATGGGCAGTAAGTCACATGGAGCCACCAAAGACTGATGATAAATTCTTTGTTTCAAAGATGGCCAAAGCCTTTTGGATTTACTCTATATAAAACACTTTTTTTGAGAAGGCCCATACTTTTCCTTCTAGATGGCTCCAGTAATACACAAGAAGGGGCTTGTATGCCAATCCTAGCATCAATGTTCACAATGAAAACCGTTCTAGCTCATCCCTCCCTGCAGTCCTTGAATGCTGAGTCCCATCACTTTTTCAAGGCACTGAGCTATCCTCTACTGGAGAATGAAACAGAAGATAAACAGCTAATTCTAAGGTCATTCCTCCTATTAACTCTGACTTATCCTTCACTTAAAGCCAACAAAGCCTCTCTTACTTAGGGTAATTAAGTATCTGAAACAGCTCACAAAGATGCCACCAGGGCACACACACAGTGCTCCAAAGGCAGAGTTACCAATATTTATTTTGGTTTTCACATCCTTTGGTGTCACACCTGATTATCTATTGTTCTGCAGAAAATGATTCCTTAGACATTGCTATCTTTGGCCCACTTGCCCTTCCTTCTCCCCATTAGCATCTTTTAACCCCATCCCCACCTGCTGACACCCCCTTTCCCACAACTGCAGGAACCTTTGAATGTAATACCCAGAGGGAAATGAAAGTCCACTCCTCAGGGCACCAGGCAAGGCCCAGAGAAGGGCTCCAGAGATGGAAAGATCTGTCTCCACAAAGAAATGTCTCTACTCAAACACACAGAGGAAGAGCTTGCTGCAGCCTCACAGTGCTGTCAAATAAAAGAAGTCAGTGTGTCCACCCAGGCTCCTCCCTTAACAGTCAGGGACACAAAATCCCAGCACAACCAAGGAAATACCAATAAAGACCTTCCCACCTCCCGCTGCCTGCTTCTCCATCGTTATTTTCCTCAGGAAATAATTGGGAAAAAAAAAAAAAACCTATTCTTATTTTCTAGCTAACAATATAGATCAAATTTATTTTTTTTTTAAATAAGCAAAAATATAACTCCTTCATTTCATGCTGGCTGCATCATTCTGGACTATCTGATAAATCAGGTTGTTTCCGTTAACAGACCAGAGCTACTGTTACAGGGTTAAATTGTGTCCCAGACCCCTATTCCCCTACCCTCCACCCCCCAGTCAGAAAGATATGTTTAAATCCTAAACCCAAAGTACCTCACAATGTGATTCTATTTAGAAATGGGGTCTTTACAGAGGTAATCAAGTTAAAAGAAAGCTATTAGGTCTCAATCTAAAATGACCAGTGTCCTTACAAAAAGAGGAAAAGTGAACAAAGAGGAAGAAGCCAGGTGAAGACAAGTTGGACAGGTGCACCCACACTGTGGAGAAGGCCAGCACACCCCCAGGAGCTGGAGACAGGAAGGAAGGGACAACTTCCCAACAGACTGCAGAGGGAGCATGCCCTAATGACACCTTGATCTTAGACTTCTTGCCTCTAGAACTATGAGGCAATAAATTTCTGTCACTCTAAGACACCTGTTTGCTCTAAGACACAAGCGTAAGGCACTCGGCTACAGCAGCCCTAGCAAACTACGGCAGCTGCCAAGAAGCAGTCATTCATACCATGAAAAGAATGGAGAGTGGAGTGATGGAAAAGCTGGGCTGGGTAAGCCATGTCACTGCCTTTAACTCACCTTTTACAGGAGGATAATAATACCACTCAGTACTGTACTGGGCTGTGTAAAGACTGAGGCCATCCATGAAATGGGTTTAGCACAGGAGTGTCAGAGGGAGCTGCTCAGTGAGAGAGATACAATCAGACTGATGTGTTAGAGGATGCAAGGGGGTAAGGTGAGTCCAGGCCGGGATGGAGAAGGGGGAGGCCCAGGACAGGACGCAAGAGACCCCAGAGGAAAAACAAAAATCTGCAACGGGGGCAGAGCAGTGAGAAAGGACAGGAAGGCACAGCACCAAGACACACTCAGGAGGTGAGGGTCAAGAGGATGCTGTGTCTGAAGAATGTGAGAATGAGTTCTCTGTAGCATGAGACAACCTTCAGTAATGAAAACCTGGGGAACAGACGGAAGGGGGCTTCACCTTCATGAAGTCAGTATGTCATCTGCAATCCAAATCTCCAGAAGATTTAGTACCTCAACAAGAAAACAAAGGCTTTCAAGACACACACAAAAAATGTGTATATCGTTTAGACCCCAGAAATCTGATTTTTTTTTCTCCTTGGAATGCTAAAATTTTGCTTCTTTTTCTGAGAGTCAATCACACCCTATTAACATGAAGTTACTTTCTAAGAAACAAATGAGCATAGCAGTCATGGGGGTTCCTTACATGACTGAAAGATTCCCTTGACTGCAACCAACTCAAACTATGCATACCAACCCCATTTACTAAATGTGACCTCAGAGAAGTAAATAAATGTGCTTCCATTTCTTTGTCTGAAAAAAGATATAAAAACAGTGTCTACCCACCCAGATAGTAGAAGGATTGGATATATAGCACTTGATACCAGCATAGTACAGGACAGTTGCAGAAGTATCAATTGTTAATTCATGTTCTTTTGTACGGTGTAGGCCAATGACAAAAACTTTAATGTGCAGCGGAATCATCAGAAAGGGCTTATAAAATGCTGATTACTGAGCCCTGCCCCCCAATTCTGTGCCTAGGGTAGAGTCTGAGAATTTGTATTTCTAAGACTTGAGAACCACTGATCTAGTCGGTGGCATTTTCATTCTACGAATCCCTTCTCCCTCTTCTCCACAGCTCCTGAAGCCACTGGCCTGCCTATAAGCTGGTGTGTTGAGAAATGAGAACTTCTATAGAAAAACAGAGGCTAAACATCTGAATCCTACATCCAGCCTCACAACCAACTCATTTAATTTAACTTCGGCCAAATCTCTTCACTCTAACATGAGACCAGGCATTTTTTTCATTAGGTTTCCAGATGCCTCACTTTATGACGTGAAAAACATCTGCCAGCCACAGTGATTTGCTCCTTTTTAAATTCCTCTGGCACTCTCGCTGCATGCGCCCTTGTCCCCCTGGGCCCTGAACTGCCTGCAGCCTTGGCTAGCTCTCTGCTTTATACATCTTGCTTTCCCAGTGAGCGGTGAGCTCCACCGACACAGCAGCTGGGTCTTCAGCATTTTCTATGGTACTCAATAAATAAATGCTTTTAGATTTACTAAAGCTATTTATATTTAAACTGGTGGACTGTTAATATTGGCACTTGAATATTTGTTCCTTTGAGAAGACCCTGGGCAGCCAAAGCTGATATATTCCTCTATCTCAGATTAAAAAATAATTAACTGGATGTTAATTAGCAATTATATAATAAATACATAAAATTGGGTGTTAACTAGGTTAACTCTCTTCTAAGCATCTTACATGGACAAACTCAGTTAATCCTCATAACATCTTTATGTGTAGGTGACATTATTTACCTATTTTGAAGATGAGAGAACTAAGGCTCAGAGAAATAAATAACTTCCCCAAGAATATAGCTCAAAAATGGATGAGCTGGGATTTAAATCTAGGCAGTCTGGCTCTAGAGCCCTTAACAATGATGATATACTGCCTCTCAAAAAACTCAAGACACTGGTATAATATAATAGAATGCCAGGGTATTGAAGGATAAGCCCTTGTAGACTTCTTAGGGGGGAAAAAGAAAAGAAAAACCAAAACCAGGAAAAGGATGGGGGGTAGGGGAAGGGAGGAAAAAGAGGAGGAGGGAAAAAGAAGGAGGAAAGCCACTTAAATCAGCAGATTCATCCAACTAAGCCCAGCCTAGACTGGCTGAACCCCCAGGAAGTATAAAAAATAAATGCATGTTGTTGTATGAGGTTTTTGTAGTTATTTGTTATGCAGCAAAAGCTAAAAGACATAATATCCGAGTCACTAGGAATACCTCCTGAGAGATCTAAGTACACCAAAAAACTCAGCCCAAAATGTAGGATGGGCTAATTAAAATGAAACTCATCCAAATTAGGAAATTACAGAGTAATATCAATCAGCATATTATGTGTAACACAAGGATTATTAGAATTACACTGTGGTTTTTTTTCCACGAGGAATTCCCATAAAAGCAAGTTAAAATGCCAAAGGCTAATAATAACTCCATGGCAGCGTTTTAGTTCCTGCGCTAACCACAGGAAACAGTCTTCAGTAAACCTCTGACTGAACGGCCAGCTTCAACACCTCTGTGCCCTTAGCAGGGAAACCAACAAGCGTGCTCTCTCTCGCAGATGGCTTCTCCCACTTCGCACACCCTCCTGTGCCAGGGACCACTGTTAGCTAGGAAGCTGGCTCTAAAGGTTTCAATATTCAGATAAGAAGACTGAAGTAATTAAAGACTTTTAAAAACTTGCCAGATAAGCTCTGGCGGGTGTTCAGCTGAATGGAGCATCATCCCATACACCGAAAGGTTGCAGGTTCGATCCCCAGTCAAGGCACATATGGGAGGCAACCAATTGATGTTTCTCTCTCACATCGATGTCTGTCTGTCTGTCTCTCCTCCCACCCCCTCCTTTCTCTCTAAAGTTAATAAACATACCCTCAGGTGAGAATTTAAAAAATTTGCCAAGTAAGGTGGCTGAGAGTGGAATTCCAAGATCCTAATCCCAGTACAGTGAAAGACTTAAGCATCAAATTCCAAAACCAACTGGGGCACTGATAAAACTATTAGCAAGTCTCCATGCCTTAAAAGTATCCCAAAAGGTTATAAATTTAACATGGGGCATAAAATATTCTTCACCAAAAAGAGCAGTCATTTTCTTTCAGTTTCTTATAGTTTTATTCTCATTTGCTTAAGAGAATCACTCTTTCTTATCTCTAGGTAGATAAGAATTTATTTGTATAGACAGCCCACCCAGGCTTGGGTCTAACTGAGAAGCTGTAATCAACTAAAAAATGCAAGCTCTGCCAGAGTTTTAAATTGAGACCCTTATGACCTTTTGGTGTTTCCATGAAGTTTTCTGAACAATGCCACGGCGGGGGGCGGGGGGGCAACGCCATGTCTACATGAAGCCACAACCACAACAGGGTGACCTCAACTAAAGACAGACCCGCGTCCTCACTACAACCTCTCATGGCCGCCAGGACACTGCCCAAGTCCAAATCCCACCGCAGTCCACCCGGCAGACTCTCCATGCTACTCGGTTTTAACAAACCTAAAGTGAGAAATCGCTTTATAAAGCATCTTTTAATGCATGAATGGGATGAAGGGCTTTATATTCAGGAGGCAAAAAAAGGAAGGGTATCATGTACATCCTTCTATTTACCGGGTTCCTACTACATTTGGATTATTTGAGGGCGAGAGGGAGGGAGAGGGAGGAAGAAAGTTAAGGAGTAATCACTATGTGTTGGCAGGATGAAAACTCCTCTCCTCCCTCATTTTCCCAACTCCACCTGCAGAGCAAATAGGACGACACAGGATGGCTAGAGGAAGCAACTACTGCTGAATGTACTACCTCCTGTCTGGGGCTATACATGACTGACGACAGGAATAACCCACAGTGGCCAGGCTGAGACATACTGCTCTTTACCAGAAGGCACAGCTTTGGGGCCAGTCAACCTCTTCACCAGCAACTGAGATAATTTTGTCAGCTAAGTAGTTGGAATAAGGGGAGGGGATAAAAGTATGGAAACACTGTTAAACACAGAGCATCTACTTACAGGCTCCACGAACTCAAACATCTTTCTCTCTTGGACTTCCTGCACCTTGAAGACATACTCCAGGGATACTTCATAGAAATGCTGCCGGACCACATCCAGTTGGCTGTCTGCCTACAAATAAGATGGAATTTCAGAGAAAAATCAAGTTACTACCCCAGGAGAGCATTCGGCAAGCAGGCCAGAAAAAAATCTCAAGGTGGTTTTTAAAAACAAGTCAAACAACATAAAACAAGAATAGTAATAACGGTTAGCCAATCACTTAACTTAGTGGCAGGAACTGTGTCCATAACTGTATATAGGTTACCTTATTCAAACCTCATTAATTCTGGTTGTTTAATACCCATCAAATTCCTAAGAAGAAGGTATTATCTTTACCTCTAATTTACAGGAGGCAAATTAATTCTACTGACATTAACGACCCTGCGGCAGCCAGTACAGGGCAGAGCTGGGACTTCTGTCCTGGCTGATCTGCCTCCAAGACTCGTGAGTGTCTTTAAATCACTAGGTAGCACTACCTCCCCACACTAACTTCCCTGACCACTCTCCAGCCCTCATAGATCCTCCCTGCTTAAGCTTGCCAACTGAGACCGTCACTGGGAAAAGGGTTGTTCTGAAAATCTGCAAAGTGCCTCCTGCAGAACGAAGGAGCCTGAAAGAAAAGTCCTCTGAGAAAAATGGGAGGGCCCAGCATCAGTCAGAGAGCTGGCAGAGCAAACGCCTGGGTTGGAGTTGCAGCTCTATCATTTTCTATCTGGAGAGACCAGCTCAAGTTGCTTATCCTCTCTGGATCTCTTTCCCACACCTGGAGGATAGAGATGATAGTATCTGCCCTTGCTCTGACTAGAGCTGTTTCAAAGAGAAACTGAGCTGAAGGCTGCAAACAACTTGAAAACCAGGAAGTGCAGCACACTTTGGTTGCTACTGTCACCACAGACAGCAGAGTAGAAGGGCTTCACCCCCTGCCCCTCCCCTAAGCCAACCACATCATCTCCAGGCAGTTACCCTCCTATCCCACCTCCCTGCTTCCATTCTCTCTCTCCGCTTGCAATCCAGTCTCCACCCAGCAGCCAGAATACCTTTCCTAAATTGTAAATCAGCTGTTCTCACAGCCACTTCAGTGCCTTCCCCTGGCCTCCCCCATGGTCTGCAAGACCTGGTGTGACCTGCCCACTTGTCCCATCTCACCTCCTCCCACCCCCCACCCCCTCACTCTCACTGTGCTCCAGACACTCTGGGCTCCTTGCTGTCCTCCGACACTCCAGATTTCTTTCTTGTCATGCAACCTTTGCACTTGGTGTTCCTTCTGCTTGAAAATCTCTTCCTTTAGATAAATATTCAATTTTTTTTAACTTCCATGCACAATGAGAAATACCTTTTGCATTATGACCTAGTAAACATACATTTATAATTAAGCGCAATACACGTCCACATTTCTCATCCTGTCCCAGCCTACTCTACTTCATGACGCAGTCAATCGGATTTTATGACACGCCAACAATTATGGGACACTACCCCAACTTTTCACTTAGCTTGCTCCTTCTCATCCTCTTGGTCTCCATTCCAATGTTACACGTTTTGATCATCCTCCGTTGACCACATTATTTTAGATAGGCCACTTCAGGGAGTCTCCATCTTCTCTCCCAGTTTATGTCCTTATCACCATATAACATTCTTATTTATTCCTCTCTTTTCTTGTATATTGACTACTAGAATATAAAGTTAATAAGAGCAAAGACCTTGTCTCATTTCTCTACTTTTCTATCCCAGTTCCCTGAAAGGTGCCTGACCCATAGCAAGCATGCAAAAGACACCTGAGGAATGAAGGACTGATCTCTCTATGCGGCCAGCAGGACCCAGCACTCAGAAGAAATGTGCAACTGAATGTGATTCCAAAGGGAAAGAAAGAAGGAATCCCAAATGGAATGATATATGTCTCCGGCCAATGCCCCCACTCATCTGGGCATAGAGTTCACATCCTTAGCTCCCTCTGCAATGGAACCATAAGCCAGGACGCCAACCCACCCAGCAGGCCACTCAAGATAGGTTCCCTGACTGTTCCTTGTGAAAGTAAATCTACCAGCTTGTCTGAGACCCACCAACCATTCTGAGCTTCTTGTAAAAGAGACATTCTCTTAGAAGTTCCATGAAGGCAGATTATTCATTTCGCCCCCACAATACACCCAATGCCTAAACAGACTTTTTCACAGAGAAATACTCAGAGAATATTTGTTGAACAAATGAATATTGTCTTTGAAACTCGCTTCTGGACCACTGAAGACAACACTGATTTTTAAAAAATCATCCACTAGATGGCAGTGTCACTCCACATCGTTGCTGTAGGAATGGGCTAGAATTTACAAGTATTGGGTTCAGAGCCCTGTCATCGGAGAACAATTCTGGATAATCATAGGAAGCAGATTTCATTAAATGTGTACTAGGTGTTCAATAATGATACTAAAAGTTGACTTTTAAAAAAATTAATGTGAATAAAAATCATCACAACATGACTGGAAGACCTTGAGTAAATCAGTTGACCTTCTGTAAGAGACCCAGTTCCTTCAAAGGTAATTTCAGGAGGTTCAGCCACATAATCCATCACCAAGGCCCCCCATGCTGGCCAGTTCTAGGTGCCTGGCAGACGGTGAATTACAATGGCATGCAGGCAGCGGAGCACTAGCCCTCTCTCCCACGGTGGAGCAAGAAGCGGAACAGCATACTGGGTTAAGGGAAAGGGCCCCAGAGCCAGGAGCCAGGGTTAAAATGCTCGCTGACCAGCTATGAGCAGACTATTAACCGTGTAAATTTCCTTATATGTAAAATAAAGGGAATACATCTGTACCTCGTAAGGGCAGCTGTGAGGAGTTTAGAAGGTTCCATGTCAAATGCTCAACACAGTACCTGATACATAAATATGCATTCAATATTTGCTGCTATTACTATTGTTGTGTTTTTGTAAGTACAAGTATTATCACTACTGTTATTATTAGAATATTTAACTTAATTCAGTTCAAAGACAACCAAATAGCAATGCCTGAGAATAGGCCAGGATTCATAGGAAAGACCTTTCATCTATTCCTTGCCCTCAAAGTACTTAGAAAGTATGAATGGGTAAAAGACAGGAACACAAAGGATTACAACAAAAGAGCATAATGAAAAAATATCCACTAAGATATACACCAGCAAAAGTCATGTACAGACTGAATATTGGTGCCCCTCCCCCGTCAACTCACACACTGAAACCTAATCCCCAATGTGATGGTATCTGGAAGTGGGGCCTTTGGGGGTTAGTAGGTCATGACAGTGAAGCCTTCACGAATGGGATTACAGCCCTTGTAAAAGAGGCCCCTACCCCTTCTGGCCACGTGAGGACCCAGAGCAAGAAGACAGCTGTCTATGAATGAACCAGGAAGCAGGCCTTACCAGACACCAAATCTGCCAGCACCTCAATCTTGGACTTCCCAACCTCAAAAACTGTGGGGAATAAATTTATGTTGTTTAAAAGCCAGCTGGTCTGTGATATTCTGCTAGAGCAGCCCAAACAAACTAAGGCAGTAGAGTTCCATTCAACTTAAGAATAGGGGATGGAGAAGAACAGGCCACTCAGAGGGATAATTCTCTACATGTGGGTAGCAGCTATAAATTGCCTTCTCATACATGAAAGAGGCATGTATTTTATTTTACAAAGGGACTACACACTCAAAGAGATGAGTACTTGCCCCAGGTCACACAGTGAGTACACGGCACAGCAGGCCTTGAAATAAGGTATCTTTGCCAGCCAGTGTTCTGGTCCCTCAGCTGTGCTACTCAGGAGGAGACGACATTGGTATGGCCCTAAAGAACACGCTGGACTCATCCCAGATCAAGTCAGCACTATCCAGGCATGGGGAAAACGGACCGGGAGGAGGGTGCCCTCCCTCCGGGGAGTGCCATGCCGGTAGGATACGTGCACTGCGGGCCTCCCATTATCAGCAGGCACTAGAACAACACACACTTGCTCAGCTTTTGAATACCTCCACTCATCTCACTGTTTAGAAACCACAGAGCTGGCCAGATCTGGCCATTGTGACTTGCATCCAGAGACTTTCCTTAAATACAGTTTCTAAATCCACTAAAAAGTGAGGACATAAAGACAGAACCTAAGTAGAACTATATATTTATCCTATATAAACACATATCCTGGGGTATCATCTAGTGCCTATATCCCCATGTAGAATTGTGATATAGCCTTTATATGCCATGCAATGAAAATAAGCATTTCTTTAGCTTTCTCTATCATATTTAACAATATTTACCTGAATACCTATACTGCTTTTAAGAATCACCTTCTCATGTGTTTGCTTCATCTTCCCTACTCAGGCACAAGAGCTTCAAAGAAAGCACATTAGTATTTTCTACTTTCTACAGTTCACACCAAGTATTCAATTGCTGTTTGCTGGTTTGCCACAAATGGTCTGCAAAGTCCACTTTAAACACTAGTGGCTGAAGTTGTTGCTGAGTCTTCACTGCCGCTCAAACAGTTCGTCTAAATACCCACGCAGAGTCCTGAGGACCACACATTTTTAACCGAGGATGTATAACAAATCCTGCTTGGGAGAGGATCAGACTGCGCCATCTCTAGAACTGTCTTCATCTTTCAACTTTTGACCCTATTTCATATGAACTTTCACTTCACAGAAGTACTGGCATGGTATTTGCTCAAAGGAAAAAAAAAAGGAGGAAATTTAACAATGAGGTCTAGCTTGAAAACCACAGCTACTCTTTAGTATATACCTGAGAAAGGTTAGCAAACTGTTAAGAATTAAGTAAAATGACATTTGTGTAGCCGAATTTGGAGTTTCACCAGGAAACTGTCCTGTCTCCCAGAAACATAAATTCCCTTGCCCCATAAACTTCCATGAACAAAATGAAAATGGTCACTTCTCTGTGGCTGCGAAGCTGACTCTTAAAAAGACCCCATGCAAATCCAAAAAGACCAGGGGCAGGTCAGGAAATTCACTTTTTTGAAACAAGGTTACCACACCACAAACCATAGGAGTGACAATAAAGTACTTATTTAAAAACAAATAAACAAAAAAAAGACTACCATCAAGTACTGGTTGAAACAGATTTTTTTTTTAATTAACCTTAAAGGAGGCTGACCAAAGTGTTTCAGATGCTCACATTTCAAATTCCTGATATAAATAAGGCAGAAAGTCAAAAGGTGAGATTAAATAGAGTACAGAATCAAGGTTAAGGGTGAGAGAAACAGGAAAACAGATGTCAGTTTGAAAGGAAGAAGCACACTCTAACAATTAGGGCTGCCCAGCAAGGAGGTGGGTGATCTTGACCAGCAGCATGTTGTCCTGCCACTCACTGGCGGGACAGCCACCAAGGGTGTGGTGGGGCAGGAAGATACAAAGGCAATCCAGGCATCAGGCATCAGACCCAGCTCCTGGTTTCCGAGGTCTCTCCCAAACATAGGATTTTCTAGCAGAGAGTAGCCAGTACATATTCACAGCACCATGTAAAAATTAAACACTTTATTCAGGATACTAGTAAAATTTCTTACCTCCTGAAGCTGGGATTCTTTCTTTTTGGAAGACAAATTTAAATGTTTTTCTAAGACCCCATAGTACTTCTCTGTCTCCTTGTCATACTTCTTTTTGGCTTCCTGGTAAAAAGAGAAAAGGAGACGAGAAAAAGAGTAACACGTTGTAGCAATAAAAGCAAACTGGGTCAAGGTCTTTCTGCTCATCTTCACAGCTTCATCATTCCCTCGAACCACAGAACAACAGCAGACAACTCAGCTTCTACGCTTCAAATAATGCCCACCCGTCAACAGCCCGATGGCTTTGAGCATCTATCAGAGAGGCCACCACAATGCCAGAAACAAGGTAGATACCAGTGCTTCACAGCAGCAAAGCCAGGACTCCACCTTCTAAGAACTTCAGTTGTCCAACATAAATTTCTAGTTTCTAACTCACAAGGATGTTCAAAGCCAATCGAAGGAGGGAAGTTGCCTATGAAGACAATCTCAAGTAGGGAGACCTGGTTATCGCTGGAATAGGACAAGTCTATAGACTAACGGATATCCAGCTTTAACAGTGTCCAAAAAGTACTTCTTAATATACAGATCCAAATACCCCTTGATGCAATAATATGAGATACAGATCTTTAATCAGAGGAATAATTTTCAAAACAAAGATGTTATTGTCATAAATGTGTTCACTTCAGCATCATTAATCATAGTAAAAAAAAAAGCGGGGGGGTGGCGGGGGGGTGGAGAGAAGCAGCAACAGTAGCAGTAACGTCACTGTCCAAGGTTAGGATCTGGGATAATTCAAGGATAAAACGCCCAACGTACATAACTGGGAAGGCAAGGAAAATTGCTCATCATATAATGAAAAGTAATTAAGAGCATGATATAAGCTTGGTGTGCCCTATGTAGAGTATATATGTTTACAGATAAAGATGAGATGGGAAGATACCTAAATGAAAATAAGAGTTAAGGCAATGTGATAATGAGTGATTTTTCCCCTCCCCTTGGGAAATTTTTATTGCCCCATATTGACTGCTTTCAAAATGAAAAATAATGTAAGTATCATAATACACGTAATCATCCCTGCTGTCCCGCCACGTCATTGAGTCACTGAGGTTCTATTTTTATCTCCCATTTTCAGACAAGAAATACTCAGACCCAGGAGGTTAACTTGTAAAAAGTCACAGAGAATGATGGAGCTGAGACATGAGCCCAGGACAAGCTGCCTTCAAACCCCATGTGTCAACCACACTTGAAACACACTGTCACAGGCATCTCCTCTTTCTCTGTCCCCACAGAGAAGGTAGGAAAGGGGGCTGGGAGAAGGTCGGCACTGGCCTGCTAAACAGGGTCAAATTTACTGAGTGCATCACTCCTGCTTTTGACTTACGGGGAGCCCACAGAGGATTTTCCTTCAACTCCAAGGCCTTTAAGAGAAGAAAAATTTTTGCAGCCACATAAGGAAACTCAGAGACATCTCTCTTCATTTACTAAAGACATAACATGCAACCACTCTTTATTAGGCTGTTTGGGGCACTGAAATACAAGATATCAGCAGTCCGTACACTCACAGAGAGGATGTTCCAGTAGAAGAAACACAATTAACCACTAAACAAGTAAACAGCATAAATGTAGACTGCCACAAATGCTATGAAGGAAATAAACAGGGTGCAGTCACAGAGATTCTGCAGATAGGGTGCTCAGGAGAGGCCTCACTGCGGGGGGTGGGGAGGGGGATGAGTTAAAACCTGCTGGTCATGCAAGGAGCACAGTGGAGGCTTCTAGAGCAGGAGAGAAGTAAGTGCTCTAGACAGAGCAGTCTGAGCCAAAGTGGCACAAAAATCACTGAGAAGCCATCACCTGAAGCCCCAACAAGCTCCTATGATGCCAGACACCATTAATCTGGTGAACAGCAAAATTACAAGCCTCACAAAGTGGGCAGAATTGTGTGTCACCTAGACAGTCTCATTGTTTTAACTTTATTGATTTTAGAGAGAGAAGGAGGGATGGAGGGAGGAGAGAGAAAGAAAGTAAGAAGAAAGACTAAGAAACATAAATTTGTCATCCCACTCATTTATACAGTCATTGGTTGCTTCTTGTGTGTGCCCTGACTGCAGGTCGGACCCACAATCTTGGTGCATCAGGACAATGCTCGAACCAACTGAGCTGCCCGGCCGGGACTTACCTACCCAATTTTAGCTGACACGTATCCATTTCTACAAATCTGAATTTTGCTTGAAAGACTACTTATACACAAGAAAAATTTTACATGCAGAAGCAAATGAAGAAAAGCCCGAGGAGGCATACTCCTTCAAATCTGAGAGGTACACGCAAGTCCTTGACTCAGGCAACTCTTTTCCTTTATAGAAACCCGTGACTATGAGGTGTGGCTCCAAGTCCCACTTAATGCCCAGCAGCCACTCCATCAGCCCTGTCATCAGCCCCGAAAAGGAGATCCCTGAGCCGGGACAGTCCAGCTAACCACAGGTGAGAAAAAGCCGGGGAACATGAGTCACTGGAATTCTGTGACTTTCCGGCAACTCAAGCCTCCACCTTCCACGTTCAAGAGAATAGCTGAAGTGAAAGAGAAATGGAAACGATTCCATCCTGAGCCACAGCAACAAGACTTCTGCTGGAACAACTTTACTGAAATTTGCGTAATGTCCTTAAGATGCGGGGGAGGGGGATACGGGGGGCGGGGGGACGTGTGCGCTCAGGGGGAGAACATTACTCAGGGACAAGACGGTGTTCACCTTCCAGGGCATCCACCGTGGGTGGCTAAGTGCAGACAGAACAGCTGTATATGGACCATTTCCAATTGTATAATGACCAACTTTAAACCAATCATTGCCGTTCTCTAGGACTTGGTTCCCTCATCTGCATACTGAGAATGACTAGATGAGATCATTGCTCAGGTTTCCTCTTTCAGCCCAAAGACTGTCTGATAAAATAAGGATAAGGACACTGACCTCCTCATAGGATTGCTACAACTAAATGCGATAAACCACATTCAATGCTTAGCAGAGTGCCAGGTGCATGGAAGCTTACTAAATCTCAGTGGAGGTGACAGACATGGGGTGGTAGCGACGGTGGCAATGGCAGTGACAAGGTCCATCACCAAACCCCACCTCCTTCTTTTCGGGAACACCACTTGCTTTCCAAAGCCCATGCCCCGGGAAGGTAACCCTCCACAGCACTGCCACACTTTGAGATTACACGTGTGCTTATATCTCTGTGTCTGATGCCCTTCTCCCCAGCCGCACCACGAGTACAGCAACCACACCTGTGCTTCTTCTCCACCACACGCCAGGGCGGAGTGCGGAGTGCGGGGCCAGGCACGCAGCAGGCTCTCACAGAGTTTTTAACGAATCAACTGTGTGCATGGAGTATACTAACATCAATGACTATAGGACAGACACTGTTCTAAGCACTTTATATGAGTTCATTCATTTCTTCCTTGTAATAACTAACTCTATGAGGTAAGGACTATCATGATCCCCATTTTATAGCCCAAGAAATAGGCATGGAGAGGTTTGATAACCTCCCCAAGTTTACATGCAAGTGACAGAAAATGAGATGTGAGCTCAAGCAGCCTAGCTCTAGTACCCACACTTAACCTCTGCTCACCAGTGTCTATTCCACTTACACTGCAGAGCCCAGCTGCGGCTGCAGGAAAAACACACTCCCCCAAACTCGGAACTCTGAATGTAGGGCCCCGGTTACACCGAGCTGCAGAGCGGCGCCCTACTCCTGAGAAGCCACACTAGCACGAGAATGCCCAGGAGTCCACCTCCCTGGCAGCCTTCACACCCCACACTCCAACTTCAGCTTCTTGAAAGCAGCAACAGCTTGTTACAACAGAAGCAGCACCAGAGGGGACAAGAGGAGGAAGGGTAATTTTAGCATCACACAGGCAGAGTTCAGAAACTTGAACTTAGCCACTGAAGAGCCCTTGCTGGCTCTTAACTACTCTTGAATCTGCTTTCTAGAGCACCCAGTGTGAAGGGTTGGTTGTTCCTTTGTTTTCTCTGAAATGCACATACTACTATGATATACAGTGGAACCTCAGTTCTAGAACTTAATGCATTATGTAAAGCTGTTCAAGAAGCGATTTGTTCAAAAACCAAGTCATTTGTTCTTCCAGTAGAAATAATGTAGACTGAACTAATCCATTCCAGAACCCCCCACAATGATTCTGTTTTTACCTTACTCACATATAGTACAAGTCTAATGTACTGTTTAATCTATAAATAAGCACTTTCAAAACAAAAAGGACATGAAAATTCAACAAAAAGAAAATGAAATATACAGTTAAAATGAAAATTTACATACACAGGAGAACTTACCTTTAATGTTGAGAGCTACTGATGACTGAATATGGAGAAATGGGATGGAGGTACAGAGGGATGTTACTGTTTGGAAGGGGAGTCCCCTTTCATAAAACGTCAGGTATCTGATCTTCTGGGGTTCTTTCTTTTGTCTCTCTGCTCCACAAGAACTTCCTTCAGGCTTACTGGGCATCTGTCTCACTTAAAACCTACCCAATGATGTTTGGTTTTGCCTACGTTTTAACACTTGCCTGAAGTGAAACACTGCATTGTCATTGAACAAGATTATTATACAGGTTGCTACTTCTACGTCAGGGAGATCTTTCTCAATTAAACTTTCCATTTCTCCCCATTTCCCAAGCATTTCCTTTACTGAAATAGGAATAGCCTCCCTTTCCTCTTTTTCTACCTCTTCAATTGCAAATTGAACAAATTAAGTTCGAGAACCAAAGTTCCACTGTATCAGTATGAAAAGGTTGTCAGGGAGAGAACTAAAGTTTTGTCTGACAGCTGAGATATTTTTTCCATGAATAACTCAGTCTAGATGTTCAAAAGGGAAGACAGTCGAGAACTGAGGTTTGACTGTAAATGTAGGGAGAGGAACAGGTGTACTGAAAAGAAGAAATGACACAGGACAGGGGCTACGCAATCATCCCCAACGGCATCGCATCATTCTTCAACAGGAAGGAGAGAACAGAATAGGTGGGAGAGGAAACATGCTTGGTGAGCAACCATTTTTCTTAAATTAATTCTCGTATTTCTCACCATCTATAACCCCACCCCCAGCCACCCAACCTAGAAAAGTACCTGCTCCTGTCACTATAATCAATGGGAATAATCCAAAGGGAGCCCCACTGAGACTTCGGCTCCTCTTCCCTCCTCCATGCCGTGACACCCATCAAACCAGAGCTGAGGGGAGAGGCCAGAGAGAGGGGCGTCTTTGCTCAGAGGAAATACTGACTACTGGGAAGATGGCTCAGTCGCCAGGTCTGCTCTGCCGCTGCCTCAAAGCCCTTCAGAACCTCCTGAGTCGCTGCCATGTGCTTTCAGGAGGAGGAGACACAGGCCCCAAGGCCACTAAAGAGAAGCTGCTCGTTGGGCCTGCCTCAGCGAGAACTGGAGAGGGACACTCGGGACATTTTCTCGCCCATCACTGGGTTTGTTCAAAGTCTTGGACAAAATCCTTATGGAACAAGACATCCCTTTAAATCCTTAGTCTCCAATACAAAACCAATAATCCCCAATTGCTTCATAAGTATAAACTGTAAAACTGGTAGTAAAGTGCTATAGAATTGAAAGAAAAATCTTTGCCATGATCCCTCCTTCAAAGAATGAATAACCCTCACAGAACTGAACATCATCTCTTTCAGGCCCTAATATATTCATATTCAGAAAGCAGATGTACTTGGAGAGGGGGAGTGATCAGGGAAGGCCCCACTTCTTACATTTCGGCTATCTTTTTCCCACCTACAGGCCATTTCACAACTGGGTAAAATCCATCGAAACAGGTTAAAAGTGTGACGCTGCCCCAAATGCCCTGTAGGTGGCGCAAGGGACTGGCTGAAAGACTCAGTTCTGGAAAAGCAGGAAGAAAATCTTGAAAATCCTCTTGCTTTCACTGATTCCAATGAAAACATCTTCCCTGTAGGTGGTCTCTAAAACTCCAATGACGGTCAAACCAGCTAGGACTTCCTAGTGATTTCTCACAGGACAAGGGACCCCAGGACAGTCCCCCTCTTAAAAATGAACAAGATTCCCTTTGCGGTCTTTCAGTAACATATTAGAATTGGCCAAGTTTGGGCTTCCATCCCTGCAAGTCAGTGATAACAAACGGTGGCCTCTGGGCCACCCAGAAAGCAGACCCACTTTCTGACCTGCACAATGTGTTACATATGTATTTTTAATGATTTGCCAACATTTTTTAAAGCAGGCGATTTCAAATAAAACTCTGACTTTTCAGTTTCTCTTGAAAAATTTAAAGCTCTATCAAGAGAGGGCTCATCTGAACACACAGCAAAAGTGAGCTAAGAATAGAGCGCCAGGCCCACAGGGCCCTATTAGTAACCCATGCTCTAGGCTCCGAGTCCTGGACCTTGCAATAAATACAAACCCACGGTGTCCAAGCACCCAGGTATCTACCTACTAATACGAAGGAGACATGGTTTCTACTGCTGGACGATTTATGAACTAGCACAAAATGATTAGAGAACAAAGCACTAGAATGATGGCTCTGGGGTGACCACTCAGGTTGTCTTCAGATACTTGTGAAGAACAGATGAGCTGGGTGCCAGGCCACTTCGCCCAAGATTTTCTGAAGATTTTCTGGGAGTGTGTTTTCCAGACCTCCTGCCCTACAATCCAATATGGAGAGCTATAAAATTCTCACCTTGGCAGCCCCAATCTGCTCCTTCCGAAACTTTTCCAAGGGGGTGATGAGCACGTCGCTGGCATTCTCGATCTGGTGAGGAAAAACAGGGTGGAGTGGGGTCAGAGAAGACACAAGAGCAGTATCAGTAAAGAGTTAGCAGTTCTGGCACAAAATACCTCCCCGTGGCTCAACGTAAAATTTGAGTAAGCAATATTGTGCATTTACTAACTGTTCACAATACTTAAACTGACAGCATGTCAAATCAAAATCTAATCATCAGTTTGAAATATGATATTCTTCCTGTGCATGATTAAAACAGATTCTTTAAAAATAAAAATTAAGACCTCTAAAAATGTAAGCAACCACCTGAAGGTGGAGGGAAACTAGTGATATGATAGAATCTAAATTTCAAGCTTCAAGTGACATCTTGTATTTTGCTCATTCACCCAAGTTGTAGTTAAGTAGATACATTTAAAGCAGATCAACACAGAGTCTGGATTACAAATAAAGAAAAAGCATTTTTGACATCCGGTGGCATGAAAACCTTCCAGCTGGATTTTGTGTGGCTCTACCAACACTGGACTATGATGAGGATGCTTGTATCTACTGACCACTGGCTGCCTCTCCATCTCATCTCACAGCTTGACCTCCCCAGGTCCTGCGGTCAACTATACCAGCACCCGAAGGCACCTCAAGCGTACCAAACCTGTCCCACGTCCAGGCTTTTGCATTTCACTGATAACTCGGATGCCCGGTCCCTAAATCCTTATGTGGACAACTCATTACTTACTGCAATTCACATTTCAGCTTAAAGGTCACCTCTTTAGAAAGGCTGTCCATCACTACCAATATAATCCAAAGAAACTTCCCACCAGCCCATCAAGTGTTTTCTTCAGAAGACATAAGCCAGCTAAAGTTTTCCGGTTTACCACCACATGCATGCATGCATGCACGCACGCACACACGCACGCACGCACGCACCATGCTGTAAATGTTCTCTTGTCCACCACTATCCCTAAAACACAGAAGAGTGCTGAAACAAAGGAGCACTCAAATATTTTTCAATGACTGAATGAATGAATGATTTCTTGATTGGCGGCCAACTGTGTGACCATGGGCAAAACATTTAACCTCTCTGGGCTCCAGTTTCCTCATATACAAAATGAGTGGGCTGGATTGTTCCAGATCCAAGATTCCATGGTCTTTTCTAAAGCAATACAATATTTTACAATCTTTCCTCTTAAGTCATTCACTGCTTACTCCTTACTCAACTAATTATTTCAGGAATCTCATCTCAACAAAGCATTATTTTTCTAAATCACATGCATATCCATTGCAATGAAACCAACAGAGTAAATGCCAGAAGCCATAAATGGACACAGAGAAAACTGAACAAAATGAGAGACAGAAGGTGGCAGATCTTCAAATTTATTGCCATTTGCCTTTTTCTCAATTTTGAGACCACTTATTCTAGTAGAGAACAACACTAGAGTGTTGTAATGTTGTTTAACTTGTTTGATTTTTATTGTTATTTGATGTGGCTTAACTGGCTCACTTGTTTAAGTCTTTTCTACAAATCAAGTATAAGTCTTCAGTGTTCACCATGGTGTCTGAGCCCCTAAGTCAGTGGTTCTCAGCTTTATCCATATGTTAGGCTCACCTGGGGAGCTTTGAAAAATCTCTATATCTGGGCCTCACTCCAGACCAATTAAATCAGAAACCCTATACTTCCTCCTGGGCATCAGTATGTTTTGAACCCAAGCTGTTCCAAAGGGTGTCCATGATTGAGAATCCAGCCCTAAGAAGGTGCTAAATATATGAAAGCCGTAACTGCCCACCTGGGAGGCAGGATGCCCGAGTCCTCGCCCCAGTCCTCCCACTGCTTGCTATCAGCCTTCATAAGCCCTCGACTTTCCCATCTGTCAAATGAAGGACTGCAGAAGTGAGGGATAAAGTCTGTCTGGGTCTGTGATTCTATGACTGTAACTTCTACTCTGTTCCAAGCACTGTGCTAATACTGGGGACTCAGGAGCCCATTCTTTGCCCTTCAAGAACTCATATTAAGGAAAAAAAAAAAAAAAAGAACTCATATTTACTATGGGACATGGGCCATGATTATCAGGACACAATGTGTCAAATGCATAATTAGAAGCATGAAGTAGATATTAAGAAAATACAAAGGATGGCCAAATATATCCTGAAGCATTAGGAAAGGCTTTCCAAAGAAGGTGCAGCTTTGCTAAGCTGAGCTGAACTGATGATGAAGCAGAGAGAGGAGGTAGGAAAGGGGCTTGCAGTGGCCATATACTCAGATGCAGACGGTAGAAACTCGATTCACTGACATTAATAATAAAATTGCAGAGGCAAGCTGAAAAGTATAATCCAGTCATTGTTCCCTTCCTGCAGGCCATAGCAATCTACAGGGTATCATCATGATTTGCTCACCACACCGCCCACCCCCAAATACTGACTTGGCCAAGGATCAGACTTGCAAGAATCACTTTCCTTTCTCAGGCACTAGCATGTGCACAAACACAAGATTTCCCCTCCCTCCACCGCCAGCCGCCCTGCTGCGGCTGCCAACACTACCGCCACCACAACCACCACCACCATCACCATGCCCAGTTCTGGTTCAAGTACCAAGCAACGAGCAATGAAGGAAAACAGTATGTCTCTCTGCAGGGCAGAAGGTGAGAGGCTTCTGCTCTGTTTGGAGTTTTAAAGAAATTCCCACATTACTCTGGTGTAACACACACTTGGGTTTGAATCTAGACCATGCCTCTTATTAACTGTGTGGTCTTGGGCACACTACTTAACCTCTGTAAACCTCAATACCTTCATCTGGACAGCGAGCATGATCTAGGTACCACCTCAGAGTCATCATGAGTTAAAATAGAAAATGTCTGGCTACATACACAATGTCTTGGCAGATGTTATGGACTAAACTGCACCCCTCACACCACCAAAAAGTATCATGTATTGAAGCCCTAACTCTGGCAAATTAAACGAGGAGGCCATTAGACTGAGGTGGCTCTAATGCCTTAGTAACCTGTGTCAGCCACCCAAAACTTAAGCCTGTGAATGCCTCAAGGTTAAGAAATCAAAACCTACAAACAAGCAATCACAAACAACCAGGCTTTCCCAAATAAGGCAACTACCTAAGTGAGAGACGATTAAATAATTTCCTTGATTTGCTTCCACATCTTCTGTATAGAAGTCTTTCCCCTAGCTCCTGTTGGTAGAGCACTCCTAATGACTTCCTGGATGGTGCTATCCGATCTGAATTGATTTTTGCTCAAATAAACTCTTAAAAATGTAATATGCTTTAGTTTATCTTTTATAACCCACAATGTGATAGGATTTGAATATGAGTTAATTAGGTCATGAAGCCACTGTGCAGTCCTTTTGATGGGACTGGTGCCCTTGTAAGAAGAGACATGAGAGCTTCCCTGCCCATCCTCTGCCATGGGAGGCAACAGCAAGAAGGCGGCCACCTCCAAGCCGGGAAGGGCGCCCTCACCAGGAACCACATCAGTCATCCTCTTGATCTCGGATTCCCTGTTCTCCACAGCTGTGAGAAACAGATGTTTATTGTTTAAGCCACCCAGATATGGTATTTTGGCAGCCCAAGCTGACCAAGAAAGGAAATTTAGTTTCACGCCATCACTTGTTAGTATGGAAAGAGGAAAAAAAAATGTCCCTCAATCGACTCTTCCTAGGGCCTCTGGAGCTCCACCTTCAACACAGAAGCCCTTCTGAGGACAAATCAGCATGCAGCCAGCAGGGTGTTTCAAGTCAGGCCTCAGTCTGATTTGGAAGGTGCCAAGAGCTTGATGAAAGATGATCAAAGATGAGGTGGAATACCTCATCTGTTAATGATGAACCACATCAGAATAAATTCTAATGCAAAAGCGGTCTCTTAAGAACCTGAAGATCAGCCTTAGATTCTTGAATTTCACAGTGCTTCTCTGAAGAACTTCTTAGAGCTACCACCACTTAACTAAGTGTCCATTTACTAGGTGCCTACCACATGGCAGGCACTGTGTTAAGTGTTTTGTTTTGGAATTAAAAGTGAAGGAGTAACCCTGCCCTCCAAGGGCTCTTAGATAAGTTTAATGGGGGGAGGGGTACAGAGTGGGGCACCTTTGTGCGCATTCTGCCAACAGAAAACCTAAAGCCCCAAAGAGTTAAATAATTGTAAAGATACATCCAGAAGTCATATACCTTATGTATACACATTACAGTGAAGTTATTCTCAAGTTATCCAAGTATGCAAATCCTATTTTTTATAAAAGGCTCTAAGCCCTGCAAAGATGAGAAGATAAGGCTTGCTCAAGAGCTCAAAGCACTCAAGTGGCAGAGTCTGGACTCAAACCCAGTTCTTCTGATAACAAATCCCATGCTCCCTAGACATGACCACACTGTCTGGGACCAAGAGTAGCCCAGCTGTACTCACCATCCGTATCCGTTCATCTTCAAGATTCCTGAGAACAGTGGCAAACTCCTGCAAAGACCTTGCTGAAAAAGGGAAAGGGACCATAAGATGGAAACTGAGTAATGCGCCTTCAGGAGCCTTTCCAGATACAGCTATCTTGTTATGGATTGAAATCCTGTGGCACATATATAAGCCTCAAGTCATTTTTTTCCCCAAGGCTCCCCTTACCTTTTAATCATCAATCATTAAGGATGACCCAGAAGGGTATGTTAATTCCACCTGGCACTTTAGTTAGGGAAGGATTTCCTTCAAGGAAAAAACTGGCTTGTTCCTGAGAGTACCCAGGACTGCTGAGATGCTGGCTGGCCCCCAGGCCCCAGGCTGGAAGGGGCAGAGTTCCGCTTAAGAGTTGAAGGATTTCCTGCCCAGGGTTTGACCTCCTCACCCTTTGTTGTGGGGCTGCGTCAGAACCCAACCTTTTCTTTGGCATTAGAACTAAACAAACAGTGCTGCTGGCACTGCGAGTCCCACCGCTGGCTCCTCCTTGGGCTCCTCCTGGCTCCCCAAGCCACTTATTAATGCAGTACAGCTTGCAGAACGCTGGTCAGATGGGGACAGTCTCCTTCTCTAGAATTATTCCCAAAGGCAATAGGCAGTAAGTGCAATAGCCCTGAGGATATTTGGGACATCTGTATAACTTGGGAGAAGCATCCATATATTCAGGATTTACCACAATGATGCGCTTTCACTGCTCTCAGCTGTCTCCCAGCTGCCTTCGCTCATCCCCAGTTTCTGGTGCATGGCAACAGGGACTCAATAAGCACTCGATGACTTAATTAATTCAATAGCACATTTTCAGTCCTTGCTCATTTCATGGAGTCAACCAAGATGTCCAATGTAAGACAAATGAGGTGCAGTAACTAGGCCTTGGCAAAGAAAGGTCTCTTAACACTGTAAATCCTCTGTACTTGGTGCTGCCTACAAAAGACAGGTGATGGTGAAGAGTGAAGCAGCACAGCAAGGTGATAATGGTAGCCCCACCATCAGCCTCTAGCCAAGGAAACAAAAGGGAGAGGTGGGGACCACTGTGAGCCAGACACTGAGCTCCACTCCCCTTTCAAAGCAACGGCAGCTACGTAACTCTAGTCACCTGTTGCCAGACCGAATGTGGGGCCAGCTGATTAGATTCTCCAATTTTCAAAGAAGCTGGAGAACTGAAACTTTAGGATAAATTCAATTTATATGGTAATTCAATTAAAAAATGAGTGCCAAAGAAAACATGGCTGCATTCTGACCTTAGAGCATGAGCTAGCATTTGCAACTTCTGATCTAATTCTTCCCTCATCTACCGGATTTCTGCTTTTGTTCAAAGTTCTTTAGTGCTGTGGTTGTAGGGAAGAACACACAAAACCAGCCAGAAGCAGAACACTAAAGGAAGGTGGAAAGGGGAACCCCACTGCAAACCTTTAAGCTCTCTCCTGCAGGCAAAGGGTGGGAGAGGCAACCCCAGAGCTCCAACAAGAAGCCCAGAATAGCCCCAGAGCCCTGATCCTCCCTTAACTCTGTCCCCTCCACTGTTGCTATGGGTTTCTCAATTTATAACACTGAGATTCTCCCCTTCCCCAGAAAAAGGCTCAGTAAGGACACTGAAAGTTGTGAGAAGCAGCACGGCTATGACTTACCTATACACATTTCATCATCTGTTTCTGCATCTCCTATGCACTGGAATTTAAATTCATTTAAGGAATCTGCAAATTTCCTCTTCGCTGAAGACAAGTCTAGCAAGAAAAAGAATAAGAAACATGAATTACTGAAATATACTGGCTGTCCAATTTGCTGCACTTTTTAATCCTTCCACTACTATAGCAGCTGGCAGATTTCCTTCTGAGTCCATTTCAAAGCACAGAAGAATGTGAATTCAAAATAGTAAATACTTGTTTATAACATGAAGTGCTGATTTGCTTTAGAAGTTAGCATGTTTGTTGCATTTGCTTTAACAATCCTGGCCTTATTTCTAATTCCTCCTACAAAGCAAATCCTGTGTTCTCCATTTGACACAGGTGGGAATCCACTTTCCTAAGGAGGCCGGAGAGGAAGTGTGACATTAGCACTTAGAACTCTGTAGGTGGGCTTTGTCACTGACCCTCCGTGTGGTCAGTGAAGCTTCCCCACATCAGACTCCATAATACCTTCCCCTAGCCCAACTCATACCACAAACTGCTTGAAAAAAGTGCTGGAAACTGCCCTGCCCCACGGCACAGGAGGACCTGGACTTCCTCTTCCAACTCAAGTGCACGTGAGGCCCGAGTGCTCAGAACCCGCTCCAGAAGAGGGGCCGGCCAGCCTGACAAATTTCTGCCTGAACCATTTCCCTGGGTCACCACGTTCCACCACTACCATGAGAACAAAGCCCTGGCAACGTCTGGGGTCGGGGTAACCCCACATATGGCATTAACCCCACACATGCTATTGACAGAAAAAGCTCTAGGAGGCCTTGTCAAATTTAAAAAGTAAGTTTTCATTTAAGTCAGTAATAAAAGCCAGTGATCCTTCCCTGAACCCTCAGCTTCTGTGAAGGGTATAAAACCACCAAGGTACCTTGCCGTGGCCTGATGGGCACGGCTGCTCCAAACAAATGTGCTTAACTTAATTCCACGTGCGGCCTTCCTGCAGATTCGGCTAATCACTCAAATTACCCTCGTCCATGTTCCCCTCATTGAAGGGGAAATGGCATTATGTTCATATTCCCAGAGGAGGGAAATAGAAGGCATAACTGGCAACAAGGCCTGGCTTTAATAAGATATTTGGGGGCAGGGGGAGGGGAAGGAGAGAATTCTGGCTTCACAGGTCAACATAACCTATTAGAATAAAAGCACCCATGATCCTCAGCACTTGTCTATTTTAATTCCCAGATTTGTCCTGTGAAGTTACAGTTAGTTTTCCCATCTTTCGATTTCATACAAATCCAACCCCCAATGTTCAGCTCATCGATCCGAATGTTCATTCCAAACAATGGCTACCAGTGGAAGAGCCAGGCTGGCATCCCAGTCTCAGGTCTGGGGCTCAGGATTCCACACTGGATATCAGCAGCTCCTGTTCTGAGGCTGCCCTCCCAGTGGCTCAGAATACAAAGGTCCTGAGCCAGCTGTGCTCTGTACAAGGTCCTCTGCTCTACACCAAAAGACGAAGGCACTCGGAGTGGAGAAGGAGAACACAGGAGACAACAGCCAACAGGCTCCAGTCTCTCCCTGGTTCAGTCATTTGAATGGAATGGTCCTTGGGCAAAAAGTCTAAAGACGCTGGCAGGAGAATCAGGCATCTCTTAAAACTGGCCAACCCAGGCCAAGGATATCCCTGAGAACACAAATCACTCCTGGCAAGAAAGAAACAGATGCATCTGAAAGTCGGAACACTGTGCAAAGGACAGAAGAGGCCACAGGCAGGCAGGATGGGAGGTGGGGGAGGAATGGTAACTTTGCAGAGTGGAAGCCAAAGCCCTCTAAGAAGCCCAAAGTGTGTAGTGCATGGAATGTGGGCACAGTTGTACTCTGTGTCACTTTAGTCCGAATGTCCCCCTAATCAGAATTCACAAAGGAAGACCTGAGCAAAGAGTAAGAACAGGGCTGCTTCTCCATCCACCTAAAAATCTTCCAGTGCCTCCCCATCTCCGGTACGGCAAGAAAGACTCAAGCTGGATTTTCCCAACAAAGTGGAAAAAGGTGAAACATAAGCTAGGCTCGGGCAAGCTCCCAGCACGCACCTGAAAAGCTGTGCTGCCAGGGGCAGCTGCCAATGAGGACCAAGGAGTGGCTCATGCTGCACAACGGGGCCTTTGTGGGGCCTTTTCACAGGAGGACCCATTTAGCCAGGAGCAGGGCCAGTTAGCTTATGACCAGAAGGTACCTGATTTCATTGTCCGGCGGCACACTGCAGACCCCGCCAAAGCACAAACCTGAGAAGCAATGTGGGCCCCACGAAGGTGATAAAGAGGCCAGTCCCCCTGATGGAAGATTAGGTAATGAGTACTGGTATGGAGTCAATACCGGGCTGTGGGCCAATAAGGACAGCTGGGTAGAGTGAGAATCCCAATTGTTGGAATCTGAAAAGGAATGCACCATGGGCTTGAATGACTCATGCTTCAGAGAGAAGTCTTTCTGTAAAGGTGCAGTGGACACCTGTTGTTTTGCTTCTTCAGCATCCACTCCCCAATCTTTGGGATGGCATCTCAAGCTTGCTTTGGAAGACCTCCCTTCTCTACTGGCACTGCATGCGGTTCTGATTATGTGCTGATCAATCGCTTCCACAGCGACTGGCCCTCACCCCAACCTCCCCTGGCTCCTGGATTCAAGTTTTGGCTCCATCATTTACCAGATATGTAATTAACCCAGGGTTAGTCTTAAAAGTCTCAGTCATTTCATCTGACAGTTGTCATTCCTACCTAACCCCATCAGGCTGTCAGGAGATCCAGTGAAGCACACTGTATAAGCACTCTGCGCTGTAAGCTTCCGTTCTAGGCACAGGTGGACTATTCTTCCCTAAGATATAAACCCTCCAATAACAGGATCCAAGGGGTCATGACCACCACCTGTCATGAGAGCTTGGTGAAATTAAAGGAAGAACTGAGAGCCTCCACAGAGGGGACCTGTGACTCAAGCACGTCCTCTGAACCGAGATCCTTACAGCATGTGGCTACACCACGCTGCCTCATTCCACTGAGATAAACCCTGCCTCTGCTTCTGAGGACAATGAAAGGACATCAAAAAAAGAACACCCAAAAGCCACTGCTTCTTGTCTACTTCAACCCAGAAGGATTGGTGTCATCTTGTGCAGATGATCACCTTGGATATGCAGCAGCATGCAGACTTATTTCTGGAGCCTTCACTCTAACACACACAGAACTCCAACCTGCACCTTTCAGTATAAGGAGCGGAGAAGGAGAGGCTGGTATTGGTCCTGCATGCGGGCCAAGATTTGTGGCGCCCTGCTCACATAACCCTGCTGTTTGATGTTCAGGCAATGCAAGACACAGCTAAGAGCCAAGCACAGTCAATAATATTTACTGTTGCTAGAAAGGCAGAGTGCTGGCCAGAGTGGAGAGAAGTCATGACCAGCAGCCTCTGGGGAGAACAAGTATCTGCTTTATGGAGTAAGTAGTCTCTGCCTCTGAGTGAGGAAACCAGGTGGGTAAGGATATGGAAACAGCTAGAAGCCTGGCCGTGAGAGGCTGCTCCCAAAGCTGTCTGCTCACTAGGGGACCAGAGGAAAGTGCCCTTCTCTTCCTGGACATGCCATGCTCTGCCACAGCAGGTACTCATGTGCACAGAGCTTAAGAAAATCTAAGCCAAGTATAATCCCTTTTTACAGTAAAACAAGGTTTACCATAATTTCTTAAAAGTTAGAATCTACCCTAATTTATGCAAGTTTTACTAATACCACAAATTAAACCATTTCTTGTCCTTAATTTACACAAATTTTACCAGCAATATCCCACGTCAAGCCACTTCCTTTTTTTGTAAAAGTTAACATACATGTGCACACACACAAACATATATGCATACACACAAACATGCACACATATGGACACCCACATAATGACGTACTCAAGATAACTGTACAATTATATTTATTTTCAGTGCAGCTATTGCCATTCTCTGACCTCCAAAGTTACCAAAATTGGTATAACTACTCTTAACATTTTTTTGCTACTGTCACACCTCCCTGGACTTAGAAACTGATTAGTAAATAAAGACCACCTGCCAAGGTAAGTACTTGCAACAGGATTGGCATCTTGGCTGCTTAAAACACAAGAATACTCAAGTCCCCAGGCCTTGCTCGTCTCTCCCTTCTCTGAAAGCCAATTACATGTATCCTCTGTGCCTCATCATCTTGTGTGTGGGGTGATTCTGGAACTATCCATGAATGGTTTCATATCATAATGTATGACTGCCTAGGACAGGGCTGGACAAAGTGGCCCTTAAAACCTGTTGTACTTATTTGATCAGGCACAGCCACACAGGGTGGCTCACACATGGAGTGTCTGACATTGCCCAGATGAAAGGACCATGGTGGGAGCTGTGAGGTGGACGCCAGCCCCCGGGAGACTACAGCTTTACCCCACAACCACATTCCCAGGTAAAACTCAACATGCTCAAAACCAAATTATCTTTCCTCTCCTACCTTCTGGCAAAGGAGCCAACTAAGGACCTCTTCCTATGTCCCCAGTTCAGTAAAGGGCACCCCCATTCATCCCACCACATGAGTCAGACACTCACGTGTTGCCCTTGACAGGGAGGTCCTTCTCAAGGCTGTACATTTTGCCTCCTAAACATCTCAGTGCTGCTCACTCATCCCCAACACTATCAGCAGCCCCTAAATGAAATGCCCCCATTTGCTTGGATAACTGCAAAGGCCTCCTCTCTGGTCTCCCCACACCCACTCTTCTCCCCCGAGTCCGCACTCCAACTGGTCATGTCAGCTCCAGCACTGAATCCTGCCACCGCTTCCCAGAGCTCTAGGAACAAGGAATAAAGTCCCACCGAAGGCCTGAGAGGTGCTGCAGGGCCTGGGCTCCCTCCCTCCCCTCTCTGGGTCCCAGACACCCTGGCCTCTGCCAGTTCCTGGAGTGTGTCCTACTCCTACCTGCAGCCCTCAGCATGAAGAATTTTTCCTCCAGGAAGCCTTCCCTGACTTGTCTAACCAGGCCAAACCTTATCCTATTTTCACATCTTGAGTCCTATGCAACTCTTCATAGGATTTCATATTGTTCAGGTAATTCTTC